TCTTTCTTTCTTTCTTTCTTTCTTTCTTTCTTTCTTTCTTTCTTTCTCAACCCTTCCCTCCACCCAGCCATCTCTCTGGAGATTTCGCTTTGATCACAAGTCTATGTTATAAATCAGAAGAAACTAGGGAGTATTAAGATGGGATGAAAAAGAGCACTGGAGCTAATAACCTAGGGAAAAATTAGAAAAAAAATGACTGTAATGTGTCACATATTTAAAAGAAAACAGTTGGATCTGCTATAAGGACCGCTTCTCCTCTGTTTGCTGAGAAATAGCTCAGAGGGGGCTATGAGAAGGATCTTGGAGGAGTTGAGGGAAGGAAATGCATTACATTTTTAAAGACTCCACTGCTCTGTGCTCTGGGTTATAGGCATCTTACAAGTCAGTTAATAACAGCCTCAAATTTTTTCAAGGATGATTGTATTTGCTATTCTCAAAAGAAAATAAATCCAGGGTTTTGTAGTTTTGTCAAAGTTTACCTGTAGGATTCTAATTTAAATTCATGCAATATGTCAGTTACCTCAGAGACTATTTTGTTCATTTTGTTTTCTTCTAGACCAATCTTCTCTGTACAGTGAAAATTTAGATTATACTGAGAGTTTTACATTGTTAATGTTCAACAATTCCTACTGACTACAGTAGGTAATTATAGACAAGCAAGGAAGGGCAAAACTATTTGAATAAAATAATGAAGCAAAGGACTATTTGAATAAAAGTCAGGCCTTTCTGTAGACAAAGATTTTCAATCTTGGACATGGGATACAATTAGTCTGAGTCTTTGACACATTAATTTTGTGAAGACTATTCTTTACTCATTCCAATGTTAACACAAGAAAAATGAACCTGGATGTTTTTTAGAAGTGGGAAAGAATTGTCTTGGTCTTTGTGCTATCAAGAGAGTAAATTTGCCATCTACAGAAGAATGATCCTTGTTAAATGTGTAAGAGTGAAGCCCCTCCCCTCACTTTTGAGAACGTGGGAATAAGAGAGTTGCCTGGAAGTTATATATTGGCAACCAATAGCAAGTGTTTGCTGAACTACTACTTAAACATGTGCAGAACTTGAGATATTTTGCATGATATAGAAAGAAATTGAAAGTAGAAGCCAGAATCTTCAGACCCCAGGAAACTGATGGAAAAGTCAGGTAGAAAAGACATACCAATAAAAGTATTAGCAAACAATAAATTCAAGTATGGATGTGTGGTGTAGCTCATAATCCAAGTTACTCAGGAGGCAGAGGCAGAAGAGTTGCCTAGATCAACTCCTAACTTGGATACATACTATGTTTAAGACAAACCTAAGCAATTTATAAAGACTGTTTCAAAATGAAAAGTAAATGTGAGGCTCTATACAGAGCTTGCCTAGGTTGCATGAGCAAGGTCTTGGGTCAATTCTTAGAACCACAAACATTAAGTAATTAACTAATGACAGTGCATAGTAAGTATAAAATGATAAGAACTGATAACCCTATCAAAAATTTAGATAGGTTGGGAGAAAGAATGGGAGTGTTTAAGGCATTGAAACACCTGAAAAATCCACAAGATGATACTTAAACTGGGATTCAGAAGGACTGAATTCAGCCATATGTAGATTGTGGGATTGAGGATGAAAAGGAAAAAGAAACAGAGGCTTAATGGAGACTTAGCACTTGTATATTTGTCCCTTGAGTACAATGTAAAGACATAGCTTGCTCTTTTAAGGAGTTGGAAATGACACACAGGAAACGATCCTGGAAATAAATATGGTAACAACTTCAAATGGCCATTATAGTTGACTCTTTCATTTAAGGTTCTTTTTGGTCACAAAAAAACAGAAGCCACTCAAAGTAACTCAAGAGAAAACGCAATGAGAGAATATTTGGAATTATAACACAAGACTCCATGTTCAAAAGTAACTCATAGGTCAGAAAACTAGAACCCTCTACGACTAGGACCACATTGCCTCTGTTTGTCTTCCTTCATTCTTTTTTTTCTTCTTCCAGTCCACCTACTCTGTTTATTCATCTTTTCCACACCGTTAAAACATGACTACCCTGATCATTTCTTTGACAGAAAAATCTTTTTTTTTTCAGCATCAATCATTAACTAGCTATATTTCCTGCTTAAATGTTTGAGAGAAAAAGAAACTCTTAAATACCTGAGTAAGCTCAGGTATCCACCTCCAATAAAACTTTGTACCTTTGGCCTCCAGCCTGTGTCTGCTTCTCAGAGTTCTTAAGCCAAGGCAGCATTTTTCTGGGTACCTCACAAAGCAGTAGGGAGCTAGGAAGAAGGAAGAGGTTAAGAAGGTGAAACAAAGATTAGTTTGTTAATTACCAGCCTCCTTCCGGTGTCACATTTTCAATGGCTTATTCATTCCCATTCTTTGAAAGAAAAAAGAGACATATTGAAAATATTCAATGACTTCACGTTCCCAAAACTGCATGTGAATATTAATAACAAAGATTTTGCAAAATAAAAACAAGCTCCCCGTCTCTGTGTCTCTCTTTAGGTAGCAATGTGCTTTGTTATTAATTTCTGCAATTTATTAAGAAAAGTGAAAAGAAGATCACCTTTTCTGAGAGGCTGTCTTTTTTTTAATTTTTTTTTTATTTATTACAATTTATTCAATTTGTTTCCCGGCTGTGGCCCCCTCCCTCGTCTCCTCCCAACCCCATCCTCCCTCAGTCCTCTCCCCCATGCCTGTGGCCTAGTCCACTGATAGGGGAGGTCCTCCTCTCCTTCCACCTGACTCGAGCCTATCAGACTGAGAGGCACTCTTAAAATCAAGAGACAGGGTGAACTATGCTGCACAATGACTGCAGTTATTAACAAGATATCATATGCTTGGAAATCACTGAGTCAATTTTAATTGGCTTCAGAGAAACAAAAAACAGATAGCTATGTGAGATCATGTATATGCTAATTACTCAATCTAGCCTTCATATAATGTATATATATATATATATATTGAAAAATAATATTGTACACAATAAATAAATAAATAAATATGTATAATTCTTAAAGGGAAAATCTCATGGGAGCCCAAGCATAGACAAAGAACTCCAAGCATCTAAGGAACGCTGAGAGAAGGAAATTAGTCCTCTCCAGAGTAGACTTTGCCTAATTGATTATTCAATACCAAATGGTCAGCCCATACATACAAATAACACTAAAAGGACTGAACACATTTTATTATATATTTAGGTGTATGTGTGAGAGAGACAGAAAGAGAGAGAGATAGAGAGAGCAGAATGTTACTTCTCAAGGCATCCATTATAGACCAGCTAGAATGTAGAATGAGACAAGGAACATGCTCAGGGTACCAAATTTCAGAAGGTGCTCATATTTGGGATTATGAGAATTCAGAGTAAACATTTTCATGAACTTCAGAGGGAGTGCCTCCTTAAAATTTGCACCTCAGCATCCTAATTTTCCTCGCCCTGGTCCAGGCTGTGGTATCATCCATAATGATGTTGAAAAACTTACATGGAACCATTCCCTTTTTGCTGATCCAGGTACAAAGCCATTGTCCGGCCAATGGATATCCAGGCATCACATGCCCTGATGAAGATCTGCCTCAAAGCTGCCTTGATCTGGATTGTCTCTATGCTGCTGGCCATTCCAGAGGCTGTGTTTTCTGACCTCCATCCCTTCCATGTGAAAGATACCAACCAAACCTTCATTAGTTGTGCCCCCTACCCACACTCTAATGAGCTACATCCCAAAATTCACTCTATGGCTTCCTTTCTGGTTTTCTACATTATCCCACTGTCAATCATCTCTGTCTACTACTACTTCATTGCCCGAAATCTGATTCAGAGTGCCTACAATCTTCCTGTGGAAGGCAATATACATGTCAAGAAGCAGGTAAGTACATACTAGGAATTTATTTTCCTCCTTAGGCACTTGGTCTCTTGCATTAATTTTGAATCTTAGTGACAAGTACTTTGTATAAGTAGCCACATTACTTGATTATGAGATTCTAGGAGGAGAGTGATGCTTCATTAAGGTTTACTTCAGTAATAGGGCACTTGCCTAACATACACAAGGCCTTAGGTTCAGTTCCCCACAGCTGTGTAAAGGAAAATAATTTCAGGAACTCCAGTGCTTTCTATAGATTGTTCTTTTAACCCAATCACATTGTTTATCCAGGAAGAGAGTTACCACACAGCTAAAGCAGAGGGAGCAAAAAAAAAAAAATGAGACTAGGCGAAGAAAAAGAAATAACATGGTTAAAAAGGCTCATGCTGGAGAGAGGTATAGAGGGGTGACTAATGTCAAAGGATGCGCTATGCCTGAACAACAATGTCTTTATGAAACCCATCTCTTTGCATCATGAATGTATACCAATAGTGGAGAAAATGCTTCACACAATGAATGGCTCAAATCCAGATTGGATTTTTCCTCTTGAGGCCTTAATTTTCTTATCATTGTTATAGCGTAATAGCTTCTATTTTGTAATGTTATTGGAAAATTATAAGAGCATGTGTAAGAACTACAGATCACAGCATGCAGGATACCCCCATATGTCACTCCTTCTATCTTCCATAAACTTCTTCAATTTTATCCTAGAGAGACAAAGAGTAAAAAATAAAAGCGCTGGCTTTCCTTTCCTTGTCAGTTTTTAAAAGTTGTTTTTTAGATTTATATACTTTAATTTTATGTATATGAGTGTTTACCCACAATGCATGTGTACCATGAGCATGCCTGATACGCACAGAAGTCAGAAGAGGGCACTGAATTCAATGAGACTAGACTCACAGATAATTGTGAGCTACCATGTGGGTGTTGGAAACTGAACCCAGGTCTTCTGCAATCCATCTCTTCAGCCCTAGTCAGTTCTTTTTGCCTCCTAGTCCAAATGCAGATCTTTGATATATTTAATGGTGAAATAAAAATACCACCCAACTCCATGGAAATAAAAAGTTGACCCCAGTTGGGGGCCTCCCATTTCAAAGTTCTTTATCTGCCAAAAAGGAGCGGTTTGAAAAGCCTTTTAGTAAGCAAACACCCATCGTACCCCAAATTGTTAATAAGAAAGTAGTTCTTCCTTGAAGTCACAAAGGAAGTTAAGCGCAAAAAAAGAGATGTTAAGTCCATGTTGTGTAGCCACTTTCTTCACTGTGTCACCCAGAAACAGCTAGAGACTGAAAAATAATACAGATTTATCTCAGCTGGGCCAGTGAGGAAGAATAAAACTGCCTGGGGTTTTGAGCATCAGAGGGGATAAGAAATCATTAACTGTAGAGCAAAGAAAGCCATGAAGTAGAAGGGCTGATAAACTGTCCCTGCTCTCTAGAGGAAAAAGAGGGCACTTACTAGAATATCCTTGTGTGATCCATTCAAGCATGTAATCAACTTTGTTTAAAGAACTGTTCTCAGCAGCATATTCTATTTTACCTTCTGGGTTTCTGCTTCCCATCTTGTCAATCTGTGTGTTTCTGATCCCTTTTTCCATTTCCCCCCACTCTCTCTCCTTATCTTCATCTTCAGCTGTACTCTTTCTATAGCTCTTCTCCCTCATCCATTTCCCTGTCTTTGTCTTCATACCTCTAACACCGGCTCCGTTCTGTGTCTCTCCCTTCTCAGATCGAATCCCGGAAGCGGCTTGCCAAGACAGTACTGGTGTTCGTAGGCCTCTTCGCCTTCTGCTGGCTCCCCAACCATGTCATTTACCTGTACCGCTCCTACCACTACTCTGAGGTGGACACCTCCATGCTCCACTTTGTCACTAGCATCTGCGCCCGCCTCCTGGCCTTCACCAACTCCTGTGTGAACCCCTTTGCTCTGTATCTGCTGAGCAAGAGCTTCAGGAAGCAGTTCAACACTCAGCTCCTCTGCTGCCAGCCTGGCCTGATGAACCGGTCCCACAGCACAGGCAGAAGTACCACCTGCATGACCTCTTTCAAGAGCACCAACCCCTCGGCCACCTTCAGTCTCATCAACGGGAATATCTGTCATGAGGGCTACATCTAGACCAACCTTCCTCCTATGGAACTCCAGGTTTTGTTTTATGGATGTCCAGGAACCCTAGAAGGGATTATTGTCTGTACATCCTGAAGACCCTTCAGGAGGCTGAGTGCTATAGATGGATGCAAGAAATGTCCAAATAAAACAATCATTATTATATCTCAAAGTAAGCCAGCAGGCTTCATTTTCCATCTCAACTTGTGAGGGCTTCTGATGGAGATCAAATCTTCCTGTAAGAAACAAGGAACAAATTGGAAATTATTATTCAAAGCACCAAGCTCTGCTATGCCAGTATGGTCAATTAAGTCCTAGAAATTATATGAACAAAGAGAGCAGAGAAACCATGCTCTGTGAATGATATTCTTTAAACAGAAGCTGATTGCTTTCAAAACATGGCCTGACTCTTTTTCCCAGAAATATCTATAATATGTAAACCAAGGGACAACTTTAATTTACATTCCTAAAATGAAAAGGCAAGTCTAAGAAAGAATCTCATGTGTAAGGAATAGACTTCATTTATAACATTAGAAGCCAGTGTAATATAAAACAAACCTCTAAATATTGACTTTTTCAAAGATGTTGCTGAGGACACAGGAGAAACACTCAATATAAAATGTTAAAACAAAATACAACCAAACACATAGATCTATGTGTGGCTAAAGAGCTTATGCTCTGACTTCTCATTTCAAAGAAGTTCTGATTCTTGTTAACCCAATTTTGACCATTACAGTGTCATTCTACCATAGAAGAGAAATCCTTTTGTGGGGAAAAAATGCTCATTTTATCAAAGTAACAACTAAGTAGTTGTTATAAATGTATAAAGAATGACATTTTTTCTTGGTATACATGTTTTGAATTAATTTTATTTTCTTAGGTTTAACTGCCCTTGCTGTGATAAAGCAGTAGTTTCAATACAAGAAAGGTGGTATCTATGAAGAAATAAAATCATGTTTCTATTGAATGTATAGTTCCCCTAAAGTTACGTAAAGAAAATTGATATAATTTTAGTATCATGATCACGTGTCTGAACACGTGTTAAAAAAAAAGCCCCAGATACCTTAAATTTTTGAACTGACCAAAATGAGAACATTTTTGTTCTTACTTAAAAAGGTGTGTGAAATAGTCCACATGCAGAAAGACTGGACTGACAGTTCCATCTCTTTATAAATTCATAGAAATGGGTCTGTAGTAAAGTTTGTACTATCTTATTTGAAAAATCCTGCTTTGACTCTTTCTGAACTTAAAGATGGGCCATGTCTGACAGGCTGTGAATCCAAGTTGTCTAAGTGTTTTCTCTTAAACCCGGAGGCAAATTCAGTTCAGTCTCTATCTGCATGAGATACAAACAGCAAGCACATGGAAGAAAGCTTTTTGTTGCTTGATGTGGGGAAGTACTGGACAGCTGTGGGGCTTTAGGCATTAGGACCAAGACAGTGTGCTTTTAAGACTGTACCACCTGGAATAAAACCTCTTCCCTCCTGCTTTTATGTACTAGAAACACCAGTTTTCCTCGTAGTCCCTAATTACATTGCACTTTTTGAAAAGTAAAACAGACAGTGGAGGTGAAAGAACCAAGATGTCTTGATATCTTAATCCTACCTCTAGCTGTATGACTTTAGGCATCCGTTTTCCTACCCTAGGCTCCTTTTTCATGTTTAGAATGAGAACACAGAGCTAAGTCCCTTTTATTACCAAGGTTCTCTGAGGGTCTCTATCTCCTCCAGTTCTGTCTTGAGAGCATGCATGTGGCCCACCTCCTTACAGTTACTATATTTCTGCTTCTCTTACAACCATAAGGTTTGGAGACTCCCTCAAGCCCCCTTCCATGCTCCTGTGCACACAGAAGAATTAAAGAAGCTAGGTTGTTCTGTTACCCAGATACTCTTTGGCATCATTCCCATTAATAACGTTTCATGAGCTTGCAGTGTTTTAGAATTAGAGCTGAAAGACAGATAAGAAAATACGTGGCTCAGTTTTCTACTATTCAAAAGGCATGTTTGCTCTTCCCTCTTGTTCACTTTCATCTACCTGTTCTCTTGAAATACTGTGTCACAACTTTGCTCTTTTGCCTCAAACTTTTAAAACCCTTGAACACAAATGGCTCCATGCCTATTCCGGATATCTAGAATTCAGGCATATGGAATTTAGGGCACAGATGGTGTGTCTCCTTATTAGCTACTAGACAAACATTGAGAAGATCAAGGTCTGGGTATTGCTGTGTGTCCTAAGGCAAATCTTGTTACTTACTTGTGACTTGCAAATGAAAGAGTTGGAGGGAGTTTTTGTCAGCCAGTGCACAAAACTGATAAAACATATAGTGAATTAAATAATGGGCTGAAACTAGACCTTATTAGGAAAAACTTAATTGACCCATCTCTTCTCTAAGGAAATAGAAATTTTCTTTTAAAATCAAGATCCTAAAATCATAAGAGAAACCTGAGACCCATGTGGTGTCCCTTCTATACCAGGGCAAAAAATACAGGGCTGGATCCCAGACATTTCATGCCTGGCTTCCAAAGATAATCACGTTTAGCACTTATGTCTTTGGCGAAGGAAAAAAAAATCAATTTTTGCTGTGGAAAACCATCTGTGTTTATTCAATTGACAGATACTAGCTTTCAATCTATCTTAAATTGAGCTTCCCTGAGGCAGGCAGCTCAACAGTGATAGATTAAGCAATAAACAAAGCAGTCTCCCCACCAAGAGCTGAGGCTGGCAGGGAAGGTCCAGCTGCCATTGGGAGTGATATTCTACAGCAAGATGATTCTCCCTGCTTAGTGCAGACAAGGCTCCTCCTTGCTGATGATTTTATGATTCCCCATAAACTTAGATAGCTCAGCCCAGTTCTTCTGGCTGCTCTCACCTCCCCCACTCAATCTAGCTTTCTGCCTCATTATCAAGGGCTCTTTGCACCACTAATAATTTGGTTCTTCAGCTTAGAGGCTGGAGAGTCTGTAGGGAAATGATTCAGAAGCTTCTACAGACCAAGCAACCTCGTCTTGTTATAAAAATACCCACTGAACAGACGTAAATGAACTTGACAATAGGACTCGGGAGAACTTGGGTTATAAAGTGCTTTGCTTCCGCCAAGAGTCACAGTTGGTTATTGGTTTCCAAGTCCCATCATATGTCAGATGGCTTCTAGTAAAAAGGATTATCTTTGTTTGGAGAATGACGTGTTGAATGGCACCCTCATCTGTGGGCTAAAAGCTGGCTAAGTCACTTTCCCCAGAAACCAGATAGAAACAGTTGACTGTATGAGGATTGAATGAACAGTGTGCCTTAAATCATGGGAATTAGAGAGAGACGCACTTTCTCACCATCCTCTCTTTTCCCATTCGTACTTGGAGGGAGCTGTTATGAGAGAATGGATTGGAATTAGCTCTGGGGTTCTGGAAGGAACAGAGCATATTTCACAAAAATTCATCTAACTACGGCCACATTTTCATGGAATGAACCAACAGCTACAAGGAAGTAAGAACTCTTCGCTTTTATGGGACCAATCTCTCTTGAGCACTAACTCTCACCCTCTCCCATTGTCTCCTTCACTCTATGTCTTTCTATGCATACACACACACACACACACACACACACACACACACACACACACACACACAAACGCTATTCAACGTAACATACCACCTCAAGTAGTTCTTCCTTCAGTGTCTGCTATCCCTCCTAGGCACACCTTTACCACAGCACACAGATACAGCAACTTTAACAGCGTTTCATTCTGAGGGTCAGTGAGACAGCTCACCCTGTAAAGGCTCTTACCACCAAGCCAGACAAGCTAAGTTCCACCCAGAGAACCCATGTAGTAGAAAGGGAGAACTAACCCCTCAAGTGGTCTTCTGATCGCCACACATGCACCATGGCCCATGCAGCCCCCACACATCACCACCCCTGACACACACACAAAAGTAATAGAAAAAAGTTTTAAAATAGTATCATTTGGGCCTTCAAAGACATTCCTTGTCAGAGAAATGAGGATCAAGTATATGCCCCAGGGGAATATATTTCTAGAGTGGTCAACAAAAAGCGCACAAAGAACAAACTTTCCTCTTACAAAACCTTATATTAGAAATATACTCGATGGATTTTAACTATTTTCTTTAAGTTTTAAGGCAGCACATGTATTCAATTTAGGAACTTTGGGTTAGACTATTACGGTCCATGATTAATTCAAAAGAATAGTGCATTTATCTCATGTTCATAGTCTATAAAGTATTCTTACACTCATTACCTTATTAAAGTGAAGCTTTTCCCACTGGCCAAAGAGTTCATTTACATTCTTTACTGTGGGAATTTAGAGGTATTAAATTCACCTGCTTGAGACCATCTAGTACTGAATTAAAATGCCCATGGAACCATGGGAATGAAACATGAGCTATCAAAATCAGACCACATTTGACCTATGATAAAGCTGTTTCATCCACATTGCAATTTAATCTGATTTCATTTTGCTCTGATCTGAGTTAACCATGCTTTACTCTTGTGGCATATTCTGTAAAAATGACAATCATTGCTTCCTTGGTTTCCAAGACATTTTGGTACTCCTAGACAGAGCCTGCTTACCCTGGTACAAACAAGTTAGTAAGGTTATTGTTGGTAGAATAGAAGTGGGAATAAATTCCCATGTTATAAGAAAGTGAAAGGCAGAGACACAGGGCAAGATGCTAGGGGAAACATAATGGCCATGAAATTTGTGACATTTAACAAAAACCTGAATAGAGTCCTATGGCCTTGAATGTGCTCAAAGACGAGGAACATAATGTCACCAAGTATTTATGTGAACTGCTGTCTTACACAGATGAAGCCATGACTCAAGACCATTACTTAATAATACTAAGGTTGCATGGAAGAGTCCAGTGGCAGAATATACCTATAGACCAGAACTTTTCTTGATTCCATACCTCCACCCAGAATTACTTCCCAAATCCAGGTTTTGTGAGAAATAATGCACATAGGACTTAATACAAAACCCTGTTGCTGCTCTAGATGTTGTCCAAAGTCCTGGCTTAGTGATAGAATTAAAGGGGATCAAAACACACAGGTTAAAGGGCTCATTAAAGGCTAAGGCTTGGATGCAGTACAAACTGGTGGAGCAGGAAAATCCCTTAGCTTACACTCTCATCCCAACCCAGAGACATACTTCAGTTGCAAGCACCAACTAAGTCACATGGTTGTAATCCTAGCACTCAAGAGGCTGAAGCACAAGAATTGCTGCAAGTCCTAGGCCAGCCAGGGATACATGGTGAGACTTTGTCTCAAAACAACAACAAAAGCAACCAAAACTGCAACTCAAAAACAAACAACTCAGCAATGGACAATGTCAAAGAAGAGGACCCAAGTACTAACAATCAAACCTTTTTTGAATCAGGATTCATTGGAGAAAAGGTATCAGGAAAGAGGCAGAGCTGTTCATACAACCCTCTCTTCCTCACTAAATGAAAAAGACAAGGCAATGGATGGTTTCTGGGAGCCTGGAGATGTAGGCTCCATGAACGACCTCTAATAGAAAAATACTTCATGGACTGTTTGTTTGGAACTCAAATAATGAATCAATAGTTGGGATGCCTAGCTCTGATCCCAATGTCTCTCTGTTCTCTCTGAGCTCACACATTTCTAGGAAATAAGATTTATATTTGTCCCAAATTCAAAATTCACTCCCAGAGTAATAAAACATGGAGAGACATTCATAACTTTATGGTTTCTTAAGATAATCATTTTAATGAACAACAAAACTTCATACATTCAAGACTTCATTAACTCTCAGACAAACTTGATTTTTTTCAGTCTAAGTCAGGACCTAAATATTATGACACTGTATAAGTCAAAGTTTCCTTTGTGTTGCCCTTAGCTATT